GACCACGGCGCGGCGCACTGGCCGCAGGTGTTGGAGGTGGGGGGGAGGATGGAGGAGGTGGAGTGGCTCATCGGGGGCGCCGGGGGGGTGCCGCGAGCGAGCGGGGCGAAGGCATTTGTTAGGGATCGGTGTGCAACAGGGGATGGGGGCTTGCGGAGAGGGGATGCTTGCGGGATTGCGTTCTCGGCACTCGGGCATCCATGCGACCTGTCACAATGCGATCCGGAGTGAGGGCTGGACCTCAGAAAGGTCTCTGAAAGTGGCATGATAGTAGAGCTCATGCGAAGGATGCTGCAATACCATTGGCCAATGGCGGCGCTCATTTCTTTTTCACGCACGACCATTGGCCAACAGTGTGACCAACGGTCTTGCGTAACATGGACTGGATGCCCAAAAGGCTGTGGGGTCCTTGCTGCATCTTCACAATTGTTCTTTGTTCTCTATCATCTCTCTCCTACGCCCGCAGTGTGTGGGTCACCTCTCTTAAACTGGCAAGTCGCAGGTGCCCCCCCCGCCCCCCAGAACATCCAGCCCCTCATCCCATCCCCTTCTTCAACGCTCCATCCCCCATCCCTTCGACCCAGCCTCACTCCTCCCCCACACGCCGCTATGGAAGCCGTCGGCCTGGTTGCTCGTCTAGAGAACCTTAACGCGCACGACTTCATCCAGATGTTGTCTGATCATCTCGTCGATCGTGTTTACCCGTGCGAGGGTCCCATGACCCTTTTGCGACGCATCTGCATCACCTGGTTGTTTCTTTACCTCGGCTCTCTTGTCGTCTACTTCCTCTTCGCAACGCTAGACTATCTCATTTACCACAAGCTTCTCGCACGCCAAATCCTCCCCGACGGCTACGACAAGACCGTCGAGATCCGCCGCGAGATCTACATGAGCGTCACATCCCTGGCAATCATGGCCGGCCTAAGCGTTCCGGGAGAGATCCTCGTCCATCTGGGCTACAGCAAAGTCTACACCGACCCTGCGGAGCACGGATACGTCTACCTGTGCATGTCCCCTATTTTATTCATCGCCTTCAGCGACTGTCTCATCTACTTTCTGCACCGGGGCCTTCACCACCCCCGCCTGTACAAACATATCCACAAGCCGCATCACTCGTTCATAAACACAACGCCATTCGCCGCTTTCGCTTTCCATCCGCTGGATGGCTACACTCAGGGCATGCCGTACCAAATTTTCGTTTTCTTGTTCCCTTTCCACTCCGCAGCCCACCTCATTTCCTTAATTTTCGTCTCCATGTGGACCATTAATATCCATGACAGGGCTACATTCGGTATTCCTGGAGTTAATGGCGCCGCACATCACACAATACATCACACTACCTTCAAGTCAAATTACGGACAGTACTTCACCCTGTGGGATAAGATCTGTGGAACTTTCAAAGACCCCAGATTATGGAAAAAGGCAGGCGCTCCAGTTATGTCTGAGAAGGAAGTCTACGGGAAGGACGCTTGATTTGATATGCACTTGCGCCCTTGTCAAGTATTTATCAACCATCGACATACAACCGCTACCCCCGCCGCTTGTGCTTCCATTGTTTTGCGCTTAGTGCGCCGCAAATACGTCTGCACCGCAGGTTTGCGTCTACTCCGTCAGTACGATACACACGTCAGTCATATATATATATATGTATAATACATAACTACACGTAGTCAACAGAGTTCACACGGCCAACACTACAGTCTTAAACGCAACACTGGCTTTCGTTGAACGCATCAACTCTCGACGACGTGGGCACTCCCTTGATTGATAAGCGCAACCTCTCGAGGTTGCTCGACTGTTGGCACAATGCAAAGAGGGATCACGGCAGAACTTTGTAGGGGTTGCAAATCCCGTTCGGATCGATTGTATTCTTGATAGACCGCATGACGTCGATCGCAACATCACTCTTGGAATATCCAATAGCCGATCTCTTCATTTGACCAAGTCCGTGCTCTGCACTTACGCTACCTCGGCTGCTCTCCACAAATTCGTACACCCACGGTTCCAATACATCTTGTACAGCTTCCTTATCAGCCGCCTTCTCAATTGACACATTCAGGTGCAGGTTTCCATCTCCAATATGGCCAAAGCCGAATGCCGTGACTCCAGCAATGTCTTTCACTCTCTCACGCGCAGTCTCTACCGCCTTGTAAAAGGCATCTAAGGGGAGACTGATGTCATATTTGAGCGTCCCTCCTGGTCCAGCCTTCAATGCTGCTTCTGGCAGGCTTTCCCGCAGTTCCCACATGACTGCTGTCTGCGTCTCGGATTCGGCAATGGAGCCGTTGCTTACGATATCGTCCTCAAACGCCTTCTCCAAGAAGCTTTCTAGCTTTGTACGATTATGCTCGGCGTCGCTTCCAGCACACTCAATTAGCACGTACCCAGCACCGCTTTCTCTTTCTTCGTCTTCAGCATCCGAACCGATCGGGTCTGACACGTGGGAAAGATGCTTCAAAGCGAGATCAATGCTTTGACGGTCCATGAATTCGTACGCGGAAAGAATCTCTCCAAGTCCGTCCTTCGCTGCGCGCAGAAGGCGAACAACCTTCTCAAAGTCATCAACCTGTAAGATAGCAGTGTCAATACTGCTGCTTTTGATGGGGCAGGCCATTGCTATTCTCGTGATAACTCCCAGCGTTCCCTCTCCACCTATCATTAGCTGTTTCAGATCGTACCCGGTGTTATCCTTCCGTGAGGTCGTCAAGGCATCCAGAATTCTTCCGTCTGGGAGCACAGCTTCAACTCCAAGGACACTCCCCCGAAGCGACCCGTAGCGAATGAACCGCGATCCACCCGCATTTGTGGCAACGTTTCCTCCGATCTGACAACTTCCCTTAGCGCCAAGATCGAGTGGTACTCGGTACCCAGCTTCGTTGACGTAGTTATCTAAAGTTTCAAGCACCACACCGGCCTGTGTGACAACAGTACCCGACGATGCATCAAAAGATTCGATTTCGTTCATTCCAGATAGGCATAGAATCACTTCATCGAACACGGGCACGCTTCCGCCGACAAGTCCGGTATTTCCTCCCTGAGGAACGACAGCTATCTGCTGGTCGTTGCAGTATGCCATTATTGCACTTACTTGCTTTGATGTCTTCGGCTTCAGCGCAATCTTAGACTGCCCTTCAAACCGCCGCATCCAGTCGACATTAAGTGCCACGAGATCCTCATCGTTTGTCAGGACACCGTTTTCTCCTACAATGTTTCTGAAATGATTCACGTCTAGTTCAGATATTGATTTGAAACGAGAATTACGAGCTGTTGCAGGTATTGCCAAGGACCGCTTGAACAAGCTATGAGCGATTGCATATGACGGCCTCTGTCGCAACGGTGTACACGTCCTAACGAGCATGACGACTGCTTTCGATGTAAAAAGTATCACTGGAATGTGAGTGCACAACAGACAACGGAGAAAGACCCAAGCTGCAAAATAAAAACCATGACTTGAAAAAACTGCTGTTGCAAGTAGCTTGCTCAACGAAGTATGACTTCAGCAGTCAAAATGTTGACTTCGCTCTCCGCAGCAGATTTTGGTTCAATCTTTGCAGGATAGATCAGGTTGAAAATAATGACTGCATTGTTTCTCGAACAAACTGTTTTCGGCAAATTTTAGTTTTTACGGGAACTCGCCCGTGGTCTATCAAGTCAGGATTGCTCGTGCTGCTCTGTATACCGATTAAACGGAATAGATGCAAACAAATCCACTATTGCATACCACCGCCTTCACCAGCAACCGGCGGGCCTGCACAGTGTGCCGTTGACGCGAAATAACCTATATCTATTCTCTTCATTAGTACGCCTCCGAGGTCGAAAAACATATTTTAGCCAAGGGATCGCAAGCAACAGTTTTGGGAAGATTACTTGCGGCACTACACCCTCCACATGTATGTTCTGGGCTTCATGCCACACGTCTTAAAATTATCAAGTAAGCAATGTAAAGGATATATACAGTACTGAGTGCCTTACCGCATTCGAAGCTGTTCTTTTACTCAGAAGGCGGGAATGTATCTTTCATTAAACTAACTGCATTCGGAGACATCTGGAACGCCTCTAGGTCTTACTAATTCTTACTTCTCCCTTACTTTCCCATGTTTCCCAAATTTCATATGATACTTCACATATCTAATTCGTCAAACATAGAAAGTTCTCTCCACTTTGTTTCGGCTATACCAAAGAGAACTGAGAACTTCTTATTTTCTAGCAGCCAGGATGATTCCTTCGACGTTGGATTAGTTATATTTCTGAACCTTTGATGTAAATAGTTTGAAAGTAGTACAAATAGATTGCAGTCCATGTATCGTGAATGCTCTTGGTGAGTTCGCCTCAGCACGAGCAAATGTATTCATTGAAAAGAAACAAATACCTCCACTATCGAAACGAGAAAGAAAATATGGTTTTGTAAATTCCTACCCATGTGCCACCAATTGGCCCTTGATAAAAAGTACAGGGCTACGCCATAAAAAATTTGCGACGGAGAGGCATGTGAGGCATTAGTTTCTGAAGTCCTCTCGTTGCCCTTGTCCAATTCAGTACACAGAATTAGAAGGATATTCTCACTGTCCACGTCATCTACAACCAATTTTGAAGAGATTTTCACATGCCACGGTGTGTAGGGAAGAGGGATCGATCTGATTTCATCTTCGTTGTACTTGATAATTGGTCTCGAGACGTGAGAGCTTTCTCCTTGTCCACGTATTCTGTATCCATTTCTGTATCGAGGTTATGGATGACTCTCTCTATCGCATCTCCAAACGCTGAGAAGTCACCTCTCAGCTCATGCGAAGCAACCAGGAAGGATGGGACTGCGAGCGATTCGTAGGACATATGCTTTCATCAGACTACAAATGACTGAGAGATTAAGGCTTTGCAGCTGAATTGTATAGCTATCAATTCTACAACTGCAAGAATTTTTTTGTAGCGTTTTGTTTTCCGGCGTAAATACGCTTCATTTGTCTTAAAAGATACGTGAATGGAAGTTTCATACGGGGCAAGTATCAATAGTAGCTCTTAGTCTAGAATTTCGAGCTGACCCAGTGAAGCTACCCGTTAGTAGAGACTCTGTATGTACACTCTATGTGGAACACGTGTAGTCAAGAGTGACGATATGGTGTCAGGCCCAAAATAAGGTGGCCAAATTTTATGCACATCATTCGTCTTTAATCGTAGTTCCTTGTTCTAGCATCCATGAACGGTCGCCTGCGCCTTTCCACATGACCGTGTGAATTCGTACGGCTTTCTTTCTTGTTACATTAGCCATCTCCACCATCTGCACATTTCGGTCTTACTTGCCTCACTCAACGAACGATTTGGGTGGCGCCGGTATCCCGAAGACCAGGCGAGATGTCGTTTGCGAAGCCAGAAGCGACAATAATCGACCTGGGTCCAGCCTCGTCTGTTTTCTCCGATTATCACAAAGAGTTTACCTCCCTGCTTGCCTCATCCGCGGAGTCAATCTCTACAGCAAAGTCGGTATCGGAGTCTTCACCGGCGGACTCGAATTCCGCTCTCAATGAAGCAGACCGCGACATCGGAGAGGCTTCCGATTTGCTCAAGTCGATGGAGCTGGAAGCACAAGCTGCGCCATCAGATTCTCGGATCTCGCTGCGTTCGCATGTGGCCAAGGCCCGTGACGAAGTCTCGCGGATGAGGCAAGAGCTACGCGCGGCCCGTATCGCCCTCGCACAGCGTAAGGAAGAGCTAAATCGCGACGAACTTTTGGGTGGGTACAGTCACAGCGATGCGGAAGATAGGTCGCGCATGACAGACACAACGGAGAGATTAGAGAAAGGGTCGGAAATTATCACCGGGAGCAGACGGAATATCGCGGAGACAGAGGCAATCGGGGCCAGCATCTTGGAAGACTTGCAAAATCAGAGAAATACTATTATGAGGGCGAGACAGAATTTAGGGGGTGTTGACGGTGGTCTTGAACAAAGCGGCTCCATCATTTCGACGATGCAGAGGCGCGCGATTATGAACAAGATTATTGTCTACATTATCTTGGCGATTATAGCCGTCGCTTGCGTGGCCATTGTGTTTGTCAGGGTTTTCCATGCAAAGGGTTGAGACGGAAGTGTGATGGACAGCCGTTAACTATTTTTATTTAACTAGGCGGGGAAGCAAGATGCCTGCGCCTCCCTGCCGTTGGGGCGGGCACAAGGTTTTCAAAGGTGCGTCATACAACGAGTTGTGCCTAGGAAACATTTCGAGTCGAAAGGTAGCGAGGGTTGTTGGTAAAATATTCCCTTTGCCCGCAGCACTATAATACATCTGTTGGAGACTTCAGCTCAGCAATTCGGCAAACAGCCAACCGACGCAGATTGCCTTGCTTTCTAGGATATTAGTACTTTCGCTGCATAGGTAAGGCTTGTGACCGAGATGAGCATAGTGGTTGCTATGGAGATTACTGTATTGAGGATTAGCTAGCGCTGTTGTACTCAGTAGCAGAATATGTCACGTTCCTGTTACTGCAAGGAACTCCGTGAATCGCACTCTCGTGGAATGCCGTTCTTTGACTTTTTATCACTGCAAAGCACAGATCAAGAAGCCTTTTCGGACTTCGAAATGAGCTGCTTCACGCTGCATTTTTGTTTTATTCGCGCCCTTCAGATCTATGAGGGCAGTTGAGAGGCCAACCAGCAGGCTATGCATGGGGGCAGGCTCGCGCGAGAACGTTCCGTCAGACTTTCTACGATAGTTTGACAGAAAGGAGCTAAACAGAGTAGAAAAAGGCTTCACGTCGTCCAGGACTCGTGCATGGATGGTTGATTGAAGAAGATGGCCTCCCCGTGAAACTTCGGAAATCCTTTTTCTTTCCCGTTTGCCGTCTCTCTTTCTCTCCCTTAATTTGCACACCCGTTCACAAAGCTAATTTCCCTTTCTTTTCTTTCGTCTTCGCGTGTTTCCTGACTGCTGGAGGGCTTGCGATGGATAGAGGAGTCGTAGACGGGCTTGAGCATCAACACATGAGCATGTCGGGGCAACTGCCTAAACATGGCGGGAATCGTCAAGCCATGCATGATCGCGACAAATTTCGTAATTATTTTCAGCCTTGTTATTTTTTGTCTGGTTGTATTTGTCTAGACTCGTATGGTTTACTAAATGCCACCTGCTCCCCGGCCACCACAAAGGTTCTCTGAAGCGCCCAAGAACGTGCCTCTGCTTCATCCTTCATCACGCAACAATAACGCGATAGCGCCAAATCGGCCCGGAGAAGCAGGTTCGAACCAGGAGGTGTTGAGTGCTCGGGTTGCGGAGAAGCGGGAGAGGGAGGAACGGGCACAATTTGACGAAGATGTATCAAGTAGAGGGGACGGTTCCGAGCATAATCGTCGATGCAGGGTCGCATACGATGAAAGCCGTATGTTTTTCAACGACTCGTTTCTTACGCTATGCCGTGAACAATTACGGAAGGCAAGTATTCTAACTGTAGCAACTATCGATTTTTCTTTTGTCGTCGCGATTGTGTCAGGGCATTGCCGGCGAGGATCTGCCGCGAGTATTAATACCAGCTGTTCTGGCCGGGGAATTGGAAGAAGACGACAGGGAAGCAAAAACGGAAACGCGAAAATACAAAAATATATCCGCTGGACATTATGCGTTGTCGAAGCGCCGGGATAATGTTGAAATTGCCTCGCCGTTCGGCGAGGCTGGCCTGGTAGATAACTGGGATTTGTTCGAGCAGCTTCTTTCGCACACCTTCAAAAGGAGTCTGCGCATTGAAACTCGAGAAAATGCCATGCTCTTCTCCGATCCGATCCACAACGGTCGCAAGGCAAGGGAGCGCATCGCTGAGCTAATGTTTGAAAAGTTTGAGGTACCTGCCGTGTATCTTGCGCGCTCGGCAGTGCTATCAGCGTATGCGAATGGACGCACGACGGGGATCGTGCTTGATGTTGGGCACTCCGGCACAAGCGCCGTCCCAGTCGAGGACGGGGCGATGCTGAAGGGCAAATTTATTCGGACAGCGGTTGCGGGACGCACTTTGAACGAAAGGCTGCAGGAGGAGCTGATCAGGAAAAGCGTCAAATTGAGTCCCCTATGGTCGTATAAGAGAACGATTAAAGCGACTGAGGGAATGGATGAAGATTCCACTACCAGACTATCTCACGTTGAGGAGCTATCTTTTCCGAAGACGACAAAGTCGTTCGAGTTATACTCTAAAGCAACTCTCCTGGAAGAAGTCAAGGCGGCTGTCTGTGTCGTTCACGAAAACCCTACAACGCAATTGACTTCGCTGCCGATGGTGAACGAGTCGTACGAGCTACCAGACGGGAACACTGTGGAAATGGGGGCGGAGCGGTTCGCAATGGCAGAAGAGACAATTTTCAGTTCGTTGCCACATATCTTAACCGAGACGAACCTGGACACGCGGGTGTCGTACGTGAACCAATTCCTGAACGCCAAGCAAAACAGCGGTGGGGGGGATCACCCGCAAGCATCGCAAGGTCTCCACGGGCTAGTGATTGACGCGATTCGGCTGTGCGACTCGGGGGTGCATCGGGACATGTACGCAGGCGTGTGCCTGACGGGAGGGACTTCGGACATGGGCGGGCTATTTGAACGGTTAAGCTTTGGGTTGCTGGAGATGTACCACAAAGTTCGGGTGCTGGCGGCAACCGGGAGTCATGAACGCAAGTACTGTGCGTGGACGGGGGGGAGTATCCTTGCGACGTTCCCAGAGTTTCAGAAGATGTGGTTCTCGAGGAGCGAGTATGACGAAAACGGGTCGTCGTTCGTGCACAGAAAATGTCAGTGAGACAGGGAGGGGCAGCGGTTATGTATACCCTTCCAAGAGTAGATCCATGTACAGTCTACCTACAAAACGCAAAAGCGAGCTGATGCCGAGGCGTTTCATCTTGTAAATTGAAATTGAAAACGGCGGACGACGCAAGGACACTTTGTCTCTCGCAAGCGTGTTGAGATGGGACGGCAGGGGCTGGGGGCGGAGAAGGGGGGCGGCAACGGGAATAAGGTTTATAATTAAAAGCGTGCGGGAGTTAGAAGTTTGGCGCACGACAAACTCGAGAGTTGGCAAGCGAAAAGCTCCAACTGTGCGACGGCGGGCCTGTGCGCAAGACAGCACGAGCCTTCGTTGTACGCCAAGGCCTGCCAGAGAGGGGTCTGTGCAACGACGTTGGACGGGGGGGGGGGGAGGGGGGGAAGGGGGGTTTTCCAGAAAAGAAAGGCGTTGGTGCGCGGCGCGGCGGAAGGCACTACGACGACGGCTTGGGAGGGATGGTGGACGTCGACGGAGGGTCGGGCGCGGAGACGACGGCGGCGGCGGTCGAGGACGAGGCCTTCTTGGAGCCGTGGTCAATGAGCCATTGCAAGGTGACGTCAATATTGGTGCTATTCTTGGCCGAGATGGAGTAGACCGAGACCTCATGGTTGTGGATATCCTTGAGTCCGAAGACGTCGACCATCTCGTCGACGTCCTTGATTGCGCCGGGCAAGTCGCTCTTATTGGCGAGGACGAGGACGGGGATACCGTCGAGGGCCCTGCGCGAGAGGATGTCCTGGAGCTCGACGCGTGCGGTCTCGAAGCGGTCCTCGTCAGCGGCGTCGATGACGAAGACGACGGCGGAGACGCCGCGGCAGTAGCGCTCCCACATGGTGCGGAAGCGGGCCTGGCCGCCCAGGTCCCACATCTTGAGGGTGACGCCGCCCTTCTGCACGCGGCGCATGTTGAAGCCGACGGTCGGGATGCGGTCGTCCGTGAAGTCGCCCGTGGAGATAAGGTTGACCAGCGTCGTCTTGCCCGCGTTCTGCAGCCCCAGGATCGTGAGCTCCATCTCCTGCTGGAAGAAGAGCGTCTGCAGCCACTCCAGGATGCTCTGCCACAGCGCGGAAAACATAGCTGCGGCGTGGACGGGTCGAGGAGGCGGGGAGGGTGGCGGTGGGACAACGAAGGCGTGAGGTGCAACGGCGATGCTGGAGCAGATGCTGGAGCAGATGCTGGAGCAGTGGTAGTGGATTGCGTCGCGGCTTCCACAGGAGCATAACCCTCCTGGTTCTCTGAGGGCCACTTGGAGCAACACGTGGGCAACAACGACAGTCTGTCCTGTATATAGTACACGTGGACAGAGAAGAGACAGTCTGTCCTATATATTACACGTGGACTCGAAAGGAACACGTGGACAGAGAAGAGACAGTCTGTCCTATATATTACACGTGGACTCGAAAGGGACAGTCTGTCCGGATGTGTACACGTGGAGCAGGTGTGCACGGCGCTTGTAATTGACTGCGCTCCGGCGTCCACGCTCACAACGCAACTTAAACACACTCAACTTGGCTGCTCCCCCCCCACACCCAATGTGCCCGGCTCCCTCAACCTAAACAAGCTTCCAGTCTTCCCTCCTTCAATTCACTTCACTTCACTTCACCTTCCCCCTCTGCATTTCCCCTTCTTCGATTCCGCAATGCCGCCGTCCGACCCACCCCCGGATGGCCCATCCGAGACCACGCCGGTGGCCTCTCTCTTCGCCTTTCTCTCTCGCGAGGTCCTTTCAGCCGTCATCGCGCTTGCCGGCGTGTACCTCAGCGCCAAGGTAATTAAGCGCGTCATGGACCCGAACTCTGACGAGCGGGAGCGCCTGCGCCAGCACCGCGAGCAAGTGCTGGAGCGCCTCTACCGCACGGGCGTGCCACGCGACGCGTTGCGCTGCCTGGGCCCGTCGGAGGAGACCCTGCTGCACGACTTGGTCTTCCCAGAGGACATCAACTCCGACTTTGACGCCGTCGGCGGCCTGCAGGGCACGAAGGAGACGCTCAAGGAGCTCATCGTGTACCCGTTGCTGTACCCGGAGGTGTACGCGGCCGGCCGGGGCGGCGCCGCCTCCAGCCTGCTCACGCCGCCCAAGGGCATCCTCCTGTTCGGCCCGCCCGGCACGGGGAAGACCATGCTGGCAAAGGCCCTGGCGAAGGAGAGCGGCGCCAACTTTCTGGCACTGTCCCCGAGCTCGCTGCTGTCCAAGTGGCTCGGCGATACCGAGCAGCTGGCGAGGGCGGTGTTTTCGCTGGCCAGACGCGTCCAGCCCACCATTATATTTATTGACGAGATTGACGGCCTGTTTCGCGAGCGCACCTCGCAGGAGCACGAGGCGCACAAGAACCTGAAGGCCGAGTTCATGCAGCTGTGGGACGGGCTGACGACGGATGATAGGTTTAACCAGGTGGTGGTGCTGGGCGCGACGAACCGCCCGTATGACGTCGACCCGGCCATCCTGAGGCGCATGCCACGGCCGTTCGAGGTCAGCCTGCCGGCCGTCGAAGAGCGGGTCGAGATCCTGCGAAAGGTGCTGCACGACGTCGACGTGGAGCGCCCTTTCGACCTGCAGACGGTGGCCAACGTCACGGCGGGGTACTCCGGCTCGGATTTGAAGGAGTTGTGTCGCGCAGCTATGATGCACCCCGTGAGGGAGTCGTTGCGCGCAACCGCGAAGAGCGTAGGGACGGGCATGGTGCGGCGCAAGGCACCCCCGCTAAGGCCGCTCACGCTCGACGATGTGCTGCTGGCTAGGCGCGAGGTGACGAGGACGCAGGAGCAGAGCGCAGATTATCAGGAAAGGGTGGCGCGGGAGAGCAGCGGGGATGCGAGCGCTGCCAGTATGGATATGACAGTCAAGTTTTTGCAAATGCTCGCGACGAAAACGTCGTAGGTGGGGAAGGGGGAGGTAGCGTGACGGTTCGAGTTCGAGTATGTACAGTGTGGGAAGACGTTGATGGTGTTGTGTCGGGTGAAACGGGTGTGGGAGGCACACGAGAAAGTGCATGCCGCAGGGAGCGGTAGTTGCTGGTGGTCGTCGGTGTTGGCTCAGTCTTCTGAACGATGATAGCTAGACGGGCTGTGAAGAGATATTAGCTGGGCGTGTGAAGAATGATATGCACGACGACTTGTATTACGGCGGCGGGAGGAAGGTATGCGAGCAAGGTTTGCAGTGGCGAGGGTGGGTTACGTAGTTTTAAAGTGAGGCACCCAAACTTGATGCACGGCAGGTGTGATGTTGCACAATGTGCATGATGAGGTGGCTCGTGAGATATGTTGCTGTTACGGTGCGAGTTACCCCAAGTGGTGGTGTAATCCCAAAAGAGGGCTCCAGTACGTTTTATGAGACAGACTGCAGGGAGATGGGACTTTCTATCTGATGGCAAGCATGAGATGACAGAGTATTTTAGCGAAGGAGGCGAAATACGAGGATGGAGAAAAGAAGAAATGAGTATCGAAGAGCGTGGGCGTGGTGTGGTCAGGGCGATACGGGACATAACAAGGGAAAAGAGAGTTAGGACTCGGGGTTGCGGGCTTCGTTTTTCAAGCGAAGGCCGACCTTGAGGGCCTCTGTAAAGTTTTCGTCATAAGCCGGGCCGGTATTGCCGTCTACAACAGCCTTGGTGTTCTTGAGGATATGGCGTCCATAATCTGAGGTGGGGTTCCAGAAGGTGGGCCTCGCGGAGCCATCATCGATCTTTTTCGGGTACTCCCTGTCAATAATATCGGCGACGGCCTCTCCACAATCGGCGACGTCCTGTCCGCTCATGTTGCGGTCCCTCACAACGTTGACGAAATGGTTGGTCATCTTGACGTGCAAGCTCGACACGTGCGGGCCAACCTTGTCACTGGGCTTCCACTCCTCGACGAAGCGCTTGGAGAAGGGAGTAATGGTCGGGCCGGGGTTAATAATAATGACCTTGATATTATCGGCCTGTGCGGCGTAGCGGTACGAGTCCATGATGCCCTCGACGGCCTGCTTGCTGCCGGCGTAGGCGTCGGAGCAGGGCATGCCGCGGAGGGCGGAGGTGGAGGAGACGGTAGCGACGACGCCGCCGCCGCGCGCGCGCATGAAGGGGGCGAGGAGCTTGGACATGCGGACGGCGCCCCACACGTTGACGTCGAAGAGGGCCTTGGCCTCGTCGATGGCCCAGGTCTCCAACGTGCCGGGCAGGCCCCACCCGGCGTTGTTGATGAGGACGTCGCAGCCGGCGTACGTCTCGCGCAGGTAGTCGGCCAGCGCGGCCGCGCTGTGCGGGTCCGTGACGTCCAGCGGCTGCACGTCGCACGCGGACGCGCGCAGCTCCGGCGGCGCGCGCGACGGCGTGCGCAGCGTCGCTACCACGGTGTACGCGCGGCGCGACAGCGACAGGCTGATGTGCAGCCCGATGCCCGTCGAGCTGCCCGTCACGACGACGACGGGGTTGGGCATGGCGGGGGTGCGTGGCGGCGGATTGGCGGGAGGGCGGAATTGGCGCCGGGGATTGGCGCGGGGGAGGGGGATTGGCGCGGGGAGATTGGGGGGGCGCGCGGGTGGCGGAGATGACGGAGATGATGCGCGGAACGGGTGTACGGGGCTCGCAGGGCGTGACGGGGCGTACAGCACGGGACAGTATTTGGAGG